TCCAGGGTATAAAAGCTCCCCTTCCTAGAAGGGGTCAAACCAAAGAAGTGAATAAAAATCAAATAGTGAACTGAATAATTTACGGATTGACCATCCATAACTTAATATCCTTGAAGCCGCGATTCACCACCTTCGGGGGGACCCTCCGGTTTATAATAGAAGCTTAACTCTGCGATTCCTTACGGGACCCTCCAGAGTATAAAAGCTCCTCTTCCCAGAAGAGGTAAATAAGGAAACAATAAAAAATGTGAGAGCAAAAAAATTAAAGGCTCTAATAGCCGAGTGATAAATTGTCGCTTAGACCTGTGACCCCGAATGAACCTCAGGCTAAAGCTGTAAATTACTACGTCATATCCTGCGGGTCATCAGCGACCGAACCAGGAATAACATGATATTAAGTGGACCTGTGACCCCGAAGACCCTCAGGTACACAAATAAATAGCATTTATTCAAAGTGAAAATTAAAACAAATTGACACCGTCCACGACTACGCCTTTACAATACTGAATATCCTGGCACGATCACATGGCTGGGTGAGTCACTGACCCTATACTCCTAGGCAGATACTCACCTCATCGAAGGCCAATAGGTTAACATATCTTGTTTTCCTGCATTAAGCTGCCTGTGGTGTCTCCAGGGTACACATCAGAACACACTGGATACTGCTACTTCGATTTCTGCGGCATTTTCAGCGTACACATAAGAACACACTGGAAATTGCAATAGGTACAAGATTATGTTGTGAAGTAAGTTGTGCCTTAGTAGGTTGCCTTCAATCTGATTGTTGACGACTAAAAAGGATGACACAGCCCTTCCTGACCGAAACTCTTTCTTTAAAGACTAATGTGCCGTGAAACGCCAACCTGGTACATGTCGCCGTACACATAAGAACACGGTAAAAGTTTCACAAGTCTAATCGCGGCTCCTTTCTTATCTTTTTTGCAGGAAACTCTGAAAACGTAAGAAAGGAACCGACCTCCAACTCAAATCGAGACTGATTGTTTTTTTTTTCCGAAACAAAAACTAATTGCACAAAAAGAAAATACAAACATAGCACGAGGACGAAGATCCGAGCAAAAAAAAAAAAAAAAAAAAAAAAAAAAAAAAAAAAAAAAAAAAAA